CAAAAAAAAAAAAAAAATAAATAAATAAATATATATATATATATATATACACGTTATTTTAGATAAAAACTATTAACACTCGATTTCAAAAATACCTTTTAAGATTGAGAGTTTCAAATATACATTTAAATTATTAATTTCATTAATACCTTAAACATATTTTAAAAAAATTTTAAAAAATACAATTAATTTTTTTTAAACCCTTATTATTAAAAATAAAAATATTTTCAAATATATAATTAAATTATTAGTTTCATTAATACCTTTTACCTATTTTAAATTTTTTTTTAAAAAATACAATTAATTTTTTTTAAATACCCTTACTATTAAAAATAAAAATATTTTAAGATCAAAATTATCTTAATTTTTTTTTATGAAGGTATTATATAAGGTGTTAATAACTCGACTAAATTTTAAATATAATACAGAGTATATGGTTTGAAAATATTTTTGAAACACGGTTAAAAAAATATATTTTTTTAAATATTTTTAAAACAGGGTTTAAAATTTTTTTTTTTTAATTTTTTATTTTTAAATTTAAAGATATAATAGATTTATTTTTTATTTTTTTTAATCTCAGCCATTGAAGGCTCCAATGGAGAAGCAGAGTAGTAGCCAAGAAAAGGGTATAAAAGACAGTTGTTGAAGACTGTGGAGTTGAAACCGCCATTGTTAAGGGGGGAAGAACATGAAATTTGCAGACATGGCCGCCATTGATGATTCTGAGATATTAAGGTTTGAGTTTTTGGGATATTTAAGAAAAGAAATGAATTTTTTGCGGAATCTTTGTAACTGTTGCCCTAAATTTTCGACTGTTAGTGATTAAGGAGAAAGTGGAAGCCGCCATTTTCGGTGGCTACGACGGTTATGTTGGAGAAAAAAAAGAAAAAAAAAAGAAAAAAAAGAAAAATATTTTCTTATTGGGAGTTGATTAAATCTTTGTCTGGATATTATAATCATAATACAATTACCTTAATCATCACGAACTCCTGTTTTTTCTCGGGAAAATTTGATATTTTCTCGAGAAACAGAGCATATGACATACGAGTAATGGCAGTTTTAGCAGAATCTTTCCTCTGCTGCTTGTAAAACAGAGAAATGGGTGTTTGGCAACCGAGAAAATCTTAATATTACGAACTCCTTTCTTGGGAAAATTTGATATTTTCTCGAGAAACAGAGCATGTGACATACGAGTAAGGGCAGTTTTAGCAGAATCTTTCCTCTGCTGCTTGTAAAACAGAGAAATGGGTGTTAGGCAACCGAGAAAATCTTAATAATTAAGAACTCCTGTTAATTTTTCTCGGGAAATTTTGATATTTTCTCGAGAAACAGAGCAAATGAGAGTTTTAGCAGAATCTTCTATGTGCTGCTTGTAAAACAGAGAAATGGGTGTTTGGAAACCGAGAAAATCTGACAGAAAAACCTGAAAAATCAGCTGTTCGGATCAATGGAGAGAGAAAATTTCCAAGAAAATGAAAAGGGGTTTCATTTAATCAAATGAAAAAGTTCTACAAAGAACAGTTAATGATCATCATGAGGTTAGCATCTAATCGAAACTAAACTTTAAACTCTAAAGTAGAGTGTTTTAAATACAAAAACAACAACAACAAAGAACAAGACAAAATGATGATCAAGCTTCCTCTGTTTTTCTAGCTGCTGTTCATGTGAAGAATCTGATTGATGGAGTTCAAAATGGACGGATTGGATTGAATCTCAGGGGAATTCACAAGATTTTGGACGAACCCTTTTGGAACCAAACACTTTTCTTCTGCGTACAACTTCTCTTGAATCATTGTCGATTCAAGAATCTGAAGATCCTCTGTTTCTGTACGTTCTTGTTCTTGCTCTGTTTCTTGCTTCACTTGCAAAATGGCGACTTGGGCTTGCAAGAATTTCACATATTTGAAAGCAGAACTCAACATTTCAGCAGTGTTCATCTTGCTGCCGCCAGGAACCAGCTCGCCAAGCTCCTGTGTCTTCGCCGTTATCTTCCTCCGCCGTTCTCTGGCCGCAATCGTCTGCGCCGATAAGTTATTACTCGACGGCGCCGGCAACGGCGCCGGGGTCAGTGTACCTTTCAAGCAATCACCTTTATTCATCAGTTCAGCATTGCCCAATCTACCATCCCACTGATCGGAAAAAAACTCCGGCAGAGGAAAATAACCTCCGTCACCACCTACATTACCGCCGCCACCGCCATAACAAAAACTCTGTTCCATCACGACCCTCTGGCGTTTGGGGCAATAAAACTCAAATTCATCACAAGGGAAGAATTCAGCCGAGACGGGGACGAAGGAATCAACGGCAGGAGTCGGGAAGTAGGGGTAAACATCGGAAAAGACAAATGGCGAGACGTCGTCGAAGAACGGAGCAGTAGCAGTCGGGAAAAAGACAGAGTGATCGACGGCAGCATGGAGGTAATCGAAGGCGGGGTCGGGGAGGAGCTGGGGCGGAGGAAGGTGGAAAAGCTCCGGCGAGATTTCAGGGGAAAAAGGGTGGAATTGGTGATGATAAGAAGAAGGGTCAGAGGAGAAATTGGAGTAAAAGCTAAGAGCCGCCATTGAAGAGGGAGAGAGTAAGAAAAGGAAGGAATTTGGACAAGAAACTGAACAAACTAACTTGAAACTCTGACAGTAACTTGAAACTCTGACAGTGTTTTTTTTTTGTTTTGTTTTGTTTTTGTTTGTTAATTTTGGATTATAAGAGAGAGAGAGATGAGATTAATGAGGAATCAGTTATAGAGAGAAGGGTAATTAGTAGCTAATTAATCTCCGTGAAACCCCCAACTTCTTAACCCACGATTCTCTCTCTCCTCTTTCTCTCTCTATTGTGTTGTTAGTTACTATCTAGGTTTAGGGTTTCGATATGGGTGTAACTAGGGTTCGGTTCGAGGGTAGAATCGTCATCGAACCGCAAAAATATAACGAAAAATGAAAACCCGAGTCGAACTCGTTGGTTTATAAGTATTAAAGCCAAATAATCTCTAGACTTACTTATTAGTCGGTTCTAGTTCTAACAGATATGACAGTAATAACTCAAAAATCGACCAAAATAGTTAATTTTTTCTTATATGAAAATCGAGTAGAATTGAACCCGAACAGTTACTTTTGGCGGCTTCGCCACTTCTTCACTTTTTTTTTTTTTTTTACCTCCCTCAAATTCTCTCTCTCCAGGGTTAAAAAAAAATTTAGCTTAATGAATTAAATAATAATTATTATATGTTAAATATTGATAATTTGAATTTATAATTTAAATTACAATAATTTGAAGAGTTTAGTATCGGTTATTTTATTTACATTATGATTATAAATTATATTATTTGAATTTATGACTTAAGTAATGATATATTATTATTTTAATTATGTTTTATTAAAATAAATAAGTTTATTTTCTTTTTGTTAATAGTATAAATAGGTTATTTTTATTATTTTGAAATATTATTATTTTAATTATTTTTATTACTATAATTAGTTTTCCCCTAAATTTGCTCACTAAGCAAAAATTAATTAAATTATATTTAAATATTGTGGGTGAAAATTTACTAAAATATTGTGCCTATTTTGATGGGTGAAAATTTACCGGGTTTTACTTGAGTATTTGTGGTTAAAGGTGAATTTACCGTGTGGCTACAGGGGTTTGTATATTTAAAATTTGTATTTATAGAAGAATGAACATTAAATTAAAATTAAATTGTTAATATTATTTTAATAATTTGACCTAATAAAAATAAATTAATTAAAAAAAACTAATTTAAACGTGTTGAAATTAATTGCAATAATGAAATAAAAATATTATTTATTTATATAAAATTGAGAAAAGCCATAATTTTGTATGGTACAAAAATTAGGAGTTGATAAAAAAGAAATTATCGTTTCCATTTTTGAAATTAAACTATAAAATTGTCTCAATGAATAAATAAATAAATAAACATTCATTTTATTTGTTTTCTTAATATATATATTTTATTTTAAATAATATGTTTAACTTTAATGAATTAAATCTTATTTGAATGTATTTTTTTCTTATAACCAAATAAAATGAAATATACACTTGCTATATGTATTATATACAAATAAAACTATTAAAATTTAATCATATTGGAAAAATAAAAATTTTAATTTTAACTATAAACGTATACGTTTAATTCAATTAGTAATAGAAATTTATAATTTTTTTTTTTTTTTGGGATGAAGGATAAATAAATATGTCTGATTTTTCTCACTCATAAGATAGCCACAGCTCAAGAATAAAAAAATATTTGATCGATTTTGTTTATTAGAAATTCAAGTAATGCCGAGCATTAAATAATATTAAGGATCTTATAAACAAATTTATATTTAAAGCCGAAATGATAATTTGCACGATGCAACGTAATTTATACAACTAAAAGCTCTAAGATTTACTCAACGACTTAGAACAAATATAACTCCATAGCTTTACAATTCTAAATCGCCCTTGTCATCAACCAAATAGGCTACTGTACCATCTTAAAAGAAAAGTAACACGAATAAGTATAAAAATATTCAGTAAATAGCTCACTTGTTGTTTCCAAGTAGCTATCAATCTTGCTCAAATTCTTTATATCATTGAATCCCTGATCGGACTTCTCTAAGTTCATCTCAATGATTGAGTTCACATTATCCAACTAGTGTCATGTAATATATCACATTATCACAATAATTGACTTCACCAAGGTTTAGCTATCTAACTAGGCTCTTTATTATACTCTGATATCGATTTCGATCATACATACACATGTAAACAGGTGAGACACGACCTCTTGAATAACCCAATCTAGGACATATATAGACCATGGATTGTTAACTACTAGAGATTAGTTACGACTCTCTAGCAACCCCCACATAGTCACAATCATGTGACAATGACCCTTTTATCTTTTGACTATTTTAATATTGTGCAAATCTCTATCTCACTTCAGGTTCACTATTAGATAGTTGGAGATCCTTGAAATAATCCCCATATAATAACCTCATGACACTATTCAAATCTAGAACACAAGAACACAACGCTATATCATGCAACACAATCTATTATAATAAAGATCATGTCTACCAAGGTAGTTCACTATGAAAACTAACCGACGACCAGTTGATAGTCCCCACATGGTATAATCATAATTGGTCCCATTATGGGGACCTATTAGAGATTTAGTTCACTAAGCCCCAGCAATTCTCGCATAGTAACTTGATAATGAGGCCAATAATATGAATCAAGAGTGTTGTAAATTGAATAACTGAACATCATAACATGCTTCCAATTTTATAAACTCACATGGTATATATCAAGCACCTCAACATGATATCAATCATTTATCATGCTTCAACAAACTAAATTCAATCAGTGCAACCATATTTTAGGCATAAATTCAATTCATTAAAAGATTCATCCTACAAGGTAAAACTCAAATAGAATTTCCAGTTAGCCACTTACCTCGATTAATTCTTGTTTCTAGAAAAATTTGAATCTTTTCCTCCTTTAAATTCTCCAAAACCTGCTAAGTAGGCCCTAAACATCATATAAAACATCAATATGGTTGAAATTGACTCAAAAAACGGTAATCAGGTCAAACCGGTCCAACTGAAACAGTTGAATCGATTCTTCTTCCTCCCGCCTGCCAGATGCTCATCCCTTGTTCTTTAATATTGGATTTGGAGTGTTCTAATTCACGATTTCCGTTGTTTAGTTTTGTTGAGTAGAGTGTAAAAATGTGCCGATATTAGAGAAAACTCTGCAGCAAGCTTGTAGTTAGGAATGTGTGTTACAGAGTGAGATGTTAGGAATGACATCAGAAGTTTGAGATTTATTCCGTGTTGTGAGGTTGAATTGGTAATCAAAGTTATGATGGGATATGATGCTCACTTATAAAGTAGTTCATCCGCATTAAGAATGATGCTGGTTATTCACAATAAGAAACAAAACAACAGCATTGTTAGTAGCAGGGACGTGATTCAGAAGTCAAAAACCAAAGCATCTTACTCTTGTGAAAATAATGGATCTTCAACAAAAATGAACAATATGATACTTATTTCTACCAGCATGTTTGAACAAATGAATTCAAAGCTTCAACAAACATTATCGGAGTCAGTTCAACTTACCAGGTTTGATCATCCATCCCAACCACATTCTTTCAGGGTTCTGCATTGATGGCTTGCAGCGGTGTAAATCCAAGATCCAACAAGAACTACACCATGAGGAAGTCATCGACTTACGAAAACTTGAACGTGTTTTACCAAACCATGTTATTCAGACACTTTGCACGGTCCATCAAGATCTCGCTCGGGGGTCCTGTCATCTCCACCATATATTTGCTTGATTCAATCATGGCGCAAAATTTAACAAGATCTAGCTCAAGGTCCTGTCATTTGCTTCGAACCTTTGAGTACACCATATATCTGCTTGATTCGCTGCCTTCCCGTTACCAGATGATCCCTTGTTCTTCCTTCTTACCAAGCTTTCATCTAAATAAAAGATTCCATGAACGACTTCATGTTTTTAGTATCCTCTTTCGATTCTGGATGTTTTTGTGGTTTGAAGACCTTCCATAGTCCAATAGGATGCCGCCTTGGGCTCTTCATTTTGTTATCTCCTACAAATTTCCCAAACATCTTCCCACATTCTGGATAAGGCTTAACAAAAAGGTTGTAGAACCTGAGCCTGCTAGGCTTGATAATTTCCCTCAATCCAACCTGAGAACCAAGCCATCCTTTTGATTCCAAATATTCAATCACATGGTAGCGAGGAACAATCTGTTTTTCGAAATTGATTCCCAGATATTCTGGAACATCCATCAAACAGTCAACACCAAATTTCATCTTATGGGTCAAGAAGTCAATTTTCTTTTCAATGTTCTCTAATTCGTAAGTGATCAACCTCGGTTCTTTCCACAGCAATTTAAATGCTCCTGTACGAATCAGCCCATGTTTACATAAACAATCAACTCTCTGTTTCACTTCAAATGCAGCTCTTAAAGCACCGTCTCTAAAGATTTTCTCCTTGATTGAGTTCCTGCATTTCAGATTGCTAAGCAACTCGAGGCACCTTGAAATTTCTCCTAATTCGGTGGCTAAAATTCTCGGTTCCCTGACAATTTCTCTTACAATCACGTTTTGATCAAACCCCAACTCGTTGAACTCACCAATCAAACTCTTCAATCTTCCATCAACCCTAAATCCTAGAACTTTGGGAATCAAACAAATGATCCGATCAATTTCACCCCTTCGAATTCCAATTCCCATCAGAAATTCAATCGTTCGCAAGATTTCTTCCTCGTTCGAGAACACTATTTCAGGGTAATCCTCTAAAACCCTAGTCACAGTAGCATCACTAAGCCCTAAACGTTTCAGTAAATCTACAGTTGTAATAAAAATACACGAATCCAGCTGAAACCGTTTAGATAACACCAGCATACTCCGAATCATCAATACAGAAACATTGCGTAATTCAATTAACGACAAACTTGCCTCCCATTTCCTCAGAAACTCCAAGTCCAGAACCGCAGGACAGTCGATCGCCATGGAAACGAGATCCCTCGGGAGAATTTTGAAGGATAAAAGAACCGCAACAGAAGCTTCAATGTCCAGCAAATTGGAATTCGTCAAGAAGAGATGATTCTTCGAAAGGAAATTGCTGATTTGGGATTGCGTGAATCCAATCTTGTGTAAGAGATCAGGTTGATTCGGGGAAATTTTGAGATGATTGGAGAAGGTGGAAGCTGCTTTAGCTGAAACAACATGGTGGATTCTCTGAAACGAGGAGGTAAGAATTGAGGTTGAAATCAACCGGCGAAATGCAGAAGCTCTGATTAAGATTCTTCCCGCCATTGAAATGGGTTTTCGAGCAACGCGCTTAACACCAGGTTTTATGCTACGTTGCAGGATTAAGGGCTCAATTGGCGTCCTTTAGTAAAAATGAGTTATTTATTTATTTATTTTTTTAATAAATAAAAGGTAATTATTTAATTAATTTAAATAAAAATAATTGAAAATGACAAAATAAATTTTTAAAAATTTTTTTAAAAATAATTTAGTTTTGGAAAAAACTTCTAATAATATTTTAAAAATATCTTGAATTTTTAAAAATGTAATTAATATCCTTCAATCTTTTTAAAAAAAATTTAAAAATATTTTTGAAGTTAATAAAATTTAGGATATTAACTAAACCTTTTAAAGAATATTTTTTGAAACTAATGATTTTCAAAAAGAAAAAAATAAATATATTTTTTTAATTTTTTTTAAGTCATAAGTTATTTTTGAAATAAAATATTAATAGTAAAAAAAAAA